ATGCTTTACAGCAGTAGGACATGGTCACACATACCACAACATTTAACACATGAACCTACAATAAATATAGCAAACATTACAGTAAATACAACCAAAAGAACATATTCTAATTAAAACAAAAACTATATTAAACCTATTTTTAAGTATGTTTGCTACTTGAACCTCTACTATTTAACATGCATGGTTACACTCTAAAAAATGTTGGGTTAAATATAGCCCAGCGCTGGGTTAAAAAGGGACAAACCCAGCTATTGGGTTGTTTTGACCCAGCGGTTGGGGTCAAAACATCCCCACCGCTGGGTCAAAACAACCCACCCGCTGGGTCAAAACAACCCACCCGCTGGGTCAAAACAACCCACCCGCTGGGTCAAAACAACCCACCCGCTGGGTCAAAACAACCCACCCGCTGGGTCAAAACAACCCACCCGCTGGGTCAAAACAACCCACCCGCTGGGTCAAAACAACCCACCCGCTGGGTCAAAACAACCCACCCGCTGGGTCAAAACAACCCAATAGCTGGGTTTGTCCCTTTTTAACCCATCATTTTTTAGAGTGTATGCTATCAGTAGGCATATGAGTAGACGTTGATAAATATATTTGTAGTAGTTGTGGTTTCTTTGTGGATTTTCTCAATTCTCAGTTGCCTGTGCTGGTAAATTTTGTTTTTGTAGTATTGGAATAAATGCAAATGTGTGTGTGTGTCTTTTTTTTAATGTTTGTGAAAGAAGTCTTATCTCAATATGTTCACCAAGGCTGCATATATGTGACCCTGGACCACAAAACCAGTCATTAGGAATCATTTTTTAGAGTGTATGCTATCAGTAGGCATATGAGTAGACGTTGATAAATATATTTGTAGTAGTTGTGGTTTCTTTGTGGATTTTCTCAATTCTCAGTTGCCTGTGCTGGTAAATTTTGTTTTTGTAGTACTGGAATAAATGCAAATGTGTGTGTGTCTTTTTTTTAATGTTTGTGAAAGAAGTCTTATCTCAATATGTTCACCAAGGCTGCATATATGTGACCCTGGACCACAAAACCAGTCATTAGGATCAATTTTTCAAAATTGAGATTTATAAATCATCTGAAAGCTGAATAAATAAGCTTTCCATTGATGTATGGTTTGTTAGGACAGGACAATATTTGAGATACAACTATTTGAAAATCTGGAATTCTATTTTAATATATTTTAAAATGTAATTTGTTCCTGTGATCAAAGCTGAATTTTCAGCATCATTACTCCAGTCTTCAGTGTCACATGATTCTTCAGAAATCATTCTGATATACAGTTGTGCTGCTTCATATTTTGGAATTGTTGGAAATGGTGATACATACATTTTTCTTTCAGGATTCTTTGATGAATAGAACGTTCAAAGAAGAGCATTCATCTTTTGTAACATTATAAATATTTTTACCGACATATTTTAACAGTTTAATGGATTGTTTCAGAATAATAGTATTAATGGTTACACTTTATTTTACAGTATATGTACTTACAGTGTAGTTAAGAAGAAAGTACTGGGTAATACGAGGTTAAGGTTAGGTTTAGGGTTAGTATTAAGTTATTATCCAGTTATTATAATTGCTGTAATAAGTGCATAGTATGAGCAAAAGTACATAGTATGAGTGTTACCATATTCATTTCTTTCTCAAAAAAAAAAAACATTGAACATTAGAGTGTATATCTATTTCCATAATTTCCATTTTATTTTATAATTTAATGTTCATTTTGGCCACTGCGTCTTTTCTTAACATGTAACGAATTCTGTATCTGAAGCATGATGTCATGCATTTCCAGCCAATAAAAGTTCAGCTCTTATAAACTGGAGCAGTTGCTTTCGGGACACAGTTTGTCGCATAACGAGGTCAGCGGGGTGTGACCTCTGTACTCTCGCCAATTTATCCCAGGATTATCTAGAGAAAGACTAAGAGTCACGCAGATTGTTCCTTCCCACGGCCCTGATTGGTGCAAAGACATTGTAAATGCACAATAGCGTATAATTATGCTCCGCACATTTCCTGTCCTAAGACAGGCTTGTATTAATTGGCGAAGGGCATTTGGCACCTGCATCCTCTGCTTATATGAGACGACTCAAGTGCAAATGCGAGCGGGCAGCTGTGAGAGCCGTATTGGTTTGCGGCAGTAGCTAAACTTGGTGTGTTGTGTGTCACTGACATATTTTGGGCTTTTGAGTCATGAAGATAGGACGATGCCGCCGTAATGTCCAATGGTCCTCTTCAATGGCACAACCATGTCAACGAAATTGCAGACGAAAAGACTGACAGGTAAATCAACCAATCACGTTTCGTTTTGTGCCACGTCATGTTTAGGGGCATGGAAATGTCCCCACAATAACAGACCGGTGTGTAAAACTCTTGGACACATTTGAAAGATTCTATGCCGCAAGCTTTACATATTTCACATACTATTGAAAATCCACTGTTTAGTTGATCCTGATAAGCACTCTTCGTCACAGTTGTAAGCACGACCGGCTTTCTTCTTCCATGAGGGGGTTTGGCATCATGGCATCTTTGTTTCCAGGCAGAACGTTAAAGAACGCGACACACTTGTCTCCTGGAAATTCTGTATAATTCAACCAATCCGATGACGACTTCGAAACTCCTGAAGTGTTTTAAATTTTGTGTGTGATATGCATCAAACGTTCAGCCAATGGACTAACAACAATGAAACTAATATCATTATATCTTTATTTGTGGTCTGAGAAACATTAAAGTCAAATTTAGTGTTTCTCAAAAAACACATTCTTGGTCATATTGCGCATGCTCCCAAAACAATTTTTCTTTTTTCAAACTTCCATCAAAATGTATAACTAGCTTCTTTCTTTTTGACTTTTTTTCTCTCCTCCAACCACTCAATGATAGTCTATTTTTCACAATGCAATCAATTCCTCAAGGATAAAATCAAGTGCCACCCTACATTTTTTTGTGTATTATATTAGCGCTAACCATGTATGCGCTCTAGAATTTGCTTGGCTCTTGCTGTGTAATGTCATTGACAGATGAGAGTCACTGTATCCCTTCATAAATATCAGGAGTGCTTGAAACAGAGGTGGCCTGGTTGCCAATCTCTCGCTGCAACTCTATATTCATTAGACTAATGCTTGAAATACTGATGTAGCCATGTGTTTGGGTATAGATATTTTGGTTTGTTCTTACACATTCACTAAGGGGTATGTTTCAGTTGCCAATAGTGCCCTGTGAAACACTTCGATGTATATTCCTCCATCTTTGACTCAAAATCAAAAGAAGCTATGTATTCTGAGTCTGAAGTGCACTGCAAACAACATATGGAACAAATCTGTCAGTATATCACTTAAAGGGTGAGTAGGTGATTTGATTCAAGAACATTTTTCGTAAGGCTGGTTGAAAGTCTTTACACATCTCGAAAGTTAGGGGATCTAAATGTATTTATATGTATTTATATCACCTGTGGAAGGTGTAGGCCCATAAAATGTTCATCCAATCATGTCCCTCGGTCTGATGGCTACGATAGGTTGTCCTACCTGCCTGTCAACATATGTATTCGCATACCTCTGTGCACAGTGTTCACGCAGACATGATACGTCATCAGCACATTACATTACGCTATTGCAAACCAAGTGAGAATGAAAGCGTTATTATTGTAATATTATGCGCTTTTGTGTTGTAATGTTTTCTCACCGGTGAATGAGACATGAGGTAATCTGACAGCGCTGCATTCTGTCTCTCTCGTGTTTCTGGTTAGCCTATGCTCTGCCTGTGTGCGTTCATGTGTTTTGGAGGAGGCGTGGCTTTGGAGAGTGATTTGCAGGGAGGGTGGAATCTTATGCTTTCAAAGCTAGCTTGCTATTGCTAGCCTCTCCAAAATTCCCTATCCTACTTTTTACAGGAAGTGGAAATGTAAATTACCCCTCAAGTCATTGTACACTGCGTAGGAATGCTGTAAATTGGAATGCAACTATGGTCTGTCTCCTCCATACAAATTGTTAATTAAATGTGTTATAAATATGAACACTTGTGTAATGAGTAGAAAAACAGACATCTTATTATCTTCTGGTCTAAAGAAAGAAGGGATAACTTATTTAGAGCCGGTACTGATTTGTGAACTTTACGATCTGGAAAGGCTCCTGTAAATCCATGTCATACTCTTAAATGACTACAGCACTACTCTGGAGAGGTGCTAATCCCGCCAAAAGATTCAGTTGCACAAATTCAGATCTGAAAGGATCTGAGGGCCTCCCCTTGTTCCAGCTTTTTCTTGACTGCTCATGCATAACCTTGGTCTGTGTTTGAAACACCAGAACACCTGGAATCTACTTCATGAAAAACCTCTGAGGTTAAAGGACAAAAAAATCCCCTTATCATGGTCTGTACCTTTGAGAAACATTGTTGTTCCCTCTTTCACCACTATTACAACTTTCCCTTGGGTTTGCCACTTATGTCAGCACTTGGCTTAGATGATGTGTGCTCATCTAGAGTGGTATCAGGCTTGCACAGATATTTTGATTGATAGTAGTGCTTGCTAAATTTAGCAAACATGTGAGCGCATTAATCAGTCCACTCAAACAGGGACAGGGAGTCCAAAGTTTCTGTACTCATGTCTAGCCAGGAAGAATGTTTCTGAATTGGACAAAACCTTGAGGTTTTGCAAAACAACACCTTTCATTTTTAAAAGCTCTCACTAAAATAGTGACCCATGTAATTGTTTTTGGTTCCTGTAATGTTCTGGGAACATAAATTTTTTTTAGTTTTTTAAAAAGTTCCTAGAACAGATATTTGAGGTTCTTTTTGGATAGCCAGGAAGGTTTTTTTATGGAAATAATAACCAATTACTTCAACATAATCTAAATTTGTTAATCAGAATCAGAGTAACCATACTCTACCATTAGAAGAACATTGTGTGTTTGCTGGCTGAATGTTTGGATAGTCACTAGTTTTTACTGTGTACATTTGTCATGGATTATGGCCATTTAATTGATGAACTGTTATGTTTCTCTACACAGTACCTCAGGAGAAAAGCTTGATAATAAGTCGGCTCCTCTGGCTGGTGCTCATGGTGGAGTGGGTCAGAACCTGCTGCTGAGTCCCGCCAGTCTTCAGCTGGCTCAGCTTCAGGCCCAGCTCACCCTACACCGCCTCAAACTCGCCCAGACCACCAATACCGCCGCCGCAGCCACTGTCCTAAATCAGGTTCTTTCCAATGTGGCCATGTCCCAACCTCTCTTCAACCATCTTCGGGGTTCCAGCATGGCTCAGCCCCACAGTGGGGCCTTTCCACCTCCACCCATAGCCTTCCCACCACCAAATGCTGCACTGGGACAACTGGTTGGTGGTGGCTTTGCCCCAAATCCCACTGGAATCAGGCCCACCAACTACAGTGGGGTGTCCAGCCAGAAACCTAGTCCGCACAATGATTTTGGCAAAAAGCCTGGAACGTATACGACGGACACGGACCGTCGCTTGCAGTTTGGATATTTGGGAGGGGCTTCAGTGGTCACTAGTAAAGCATGTGATGGAGGACAGTATGGTGGAGCCTCTACACAATCCAGAAACAATGTCCACAGCAATTTTCAAAGAGACTACTACTCCCCTGAAACACCAGTACAACAAACTGGTTTCATGGGAGGAAGCAATAATCAGAATCTGGGATCAGCCTCTAAGGATCAATGGAAAGGTCCGATCAACTTTGGGAAGATGGATATAGGTACAGGAACAGGTTCTGGGGGTTGGGTACCACCCGGACCTGGGTTTGTGGGTCAGAGAGCAGAGTTGTACAACCCAGAGGAACCCACAGCAGATCCTAAGTTCAACTCGACATGTGGCCCAGGAATTGGCCCACCCATTGGACAGCAAGGGGGAATTCAACAGCAGCCACAGGTTTCCCAGGGCGAGGAAGGGGTGACCTTGCAATTGCAACCCCACCAGTTCAATGACTATCATGGGACAATACCTTCACACCTACCCCATCAGTGCGCCATTTGTGAGAAGAAGGTTTACAACCTGAAGGTGAGTAGATCTGGCTTGTTGGTTGAGATTAAAGGAAATGGCCCATTCACACCAACCTCAAAGATGGATTAGCATTTGCACTACAAATGTAATGTGTTTTCAACTACTCCAAATGTTGATTGCATCAGATACAGTTTAAGATTTCATTATAACCAGTTGTCCAGTTGAGATCAGACGACCCAAGATGGGATAAAAAATATTTTTGACTTGTATTTAATTCTGACACTCTGCAATCAGATAACAAAGACGGATCTCAATACTAGGTGTGAAAAGAATCAAATATCTGTAAGACAAACCTCAAAAGACTCTTCACTTTTTTTCCTACATGTGCCAAATTCATGCCAAGCTTTGAATGCTGCTTATGAACTGTGTATTGTATCTAAGTATGTTTATCCTGATGTCTCCAGCATCCAGTATACAGAATTGAGATCCAGTTGGTCTTGACTGCAGCAACTGTTTTTTTCCCCCAGTTATTTCTGCAGAACTGAGAGGTTTTTCATAATACTTGGCTAAAATGCGCCCATTGGTTACACTAGGGTGTAAATGCTTTTGTGGCAGCTAGCATGTGTCGAGTGGAGGCAGGTTTAGAGGGGGCGAGGACGCAGTTGTTCTGCAAGAGTTTGCCGTAATCGCATTCGTTCTCAACTATTGCTCGCCTTTTCTCTGCTGTGTATTACTAGCTTTCTAATTGGCCTAGGTTGTGGCTATGCCAGGGGAATCTCTCACTTTCATACAGTATAGAAGGATCATAGTGAAGTCTATCTGACAGGCGTATCGTGTGTGTATGCTGTTTTCAGGACTGGGACCAGCATGTGAAGGGCAAGTTACATCTGCAGAACTGTTCGCTCTACATCGAAAGGTGAGTACAAAGGAAAATACCATTTGTACCATGTTACAGCATTCATCAACTGATGAGCGGTGTATTTCTAAGTGTCTTATGATGGTGATAATCAATCAGCAAACTCTGATGCATGGGCGGCTACAGTAATAGTTGCTAACCTGGTGTAGAAACAAGATATTTTTAAAGGGCTTGCTTGTATGTGGTCTATTTTGATCCTCGCTATGTTCCAGTCATCGCCTGTGATTCTCTTGTTAAGCATTTTATGAGTACAGCCAATCTCCGTATTAAACAGAGTTATTTTATAAAGAGTCTTCTTCCATATAGAGAGGGTTATGACCTGAATTTGAGCTGTGTCATAAGATATAGTCAGACCAGATGCACTGGGATTTAGGATCTAAATGCAGTGCTGTCCCTTCACAGCCCGACGCTCGGAGCAGTGCACTTTCCAGTGTCGTCTGAAGGATGTCTCAACATGGCATTGAGTAACACTATGGCATACACGTCGGCTGCCAGTCAAGGTAAGACTCAAATCTCCAAATTTGTTCTTCAGTGTAAGTGCTGAAAATTCAGGAGACTGAAAGCTCTGGGACGTGATTTTAGAGGACTCTATTTGTAGGGCTGTCAGTACAGTGGCAGGAGAGCGGACTGTCTACAGACTGGCACACTGGGCGACATCTGCTAACACCAGTTTTTGTGTTTGTCGGAAACTTTTCACTGGTCATTTTTTATTGAATGTGTTCCTTGTTTTGATATCTTTTGATTAGACCCCATGAAATAGCATGTTTGTTAGATTTTAGGCCATCTATATACTAGTGCACTTCTTAAAGTTAACAAATTAGACATATAAAATGTACAGTCCCTGAAAAAAATATTGATGATTCATCTTGAACTCGGAGATGTAACCAGTTTTGTCAAGTATGTTGACAAAACATGTCCCTTCTCCGATACCACCTGCCATCGACTAGCATTAGCAAGACACAAAACATGGTTCAACTGCGTGTCTTTAGTTATGCTAACACTCTTACTTTTTAATTCGATTCGACCTACTTTTTTATAATTTGGTTGCAAATTAAGTGACTTTCTGTGGTTTTGCGGTGCAGTACCATAAACTAAATGCTATTGTCTATTTTAAAAAGAACTACAAGCCCTTCAGTATTCCCTGTCCCAACTTCCTGTTTCAATAGGAAATACATCAACACAATACAAAAATACTTTAGTCAAACTATTTCATGGGGTTAGATGTATGTGATTAGATGTATTCTACACAATTGTAGACAACATTTATTATATAAAAACATATATTTGGATATCTGAAGTGCCGTTTCCTGTTTTCTACAGATGCTTCAACTGGAAGTGCTTCATATTTGCCTGCCACATCCATGAAGTCATTTCCTCTGGCAGGGGTGGGATTTACTTCACACCAAGCAGGGAATATATTTAAGTGTATAATTTTAGAATTAATTTTATTTTTGTATTATTTTGTCTTATTTTTTTTTTTAATGACCTGCATATGCAAGTTTAGTGTAGCAAACCAAAGCAGGCCTGTGGGTTCAAGGCTAAAGAACTACAACAAAGTCATCTTATGGTCAAGGACTCCAAACTATGTGAGAAAAGACAGAGATTAACCGAGACTGAGTTACCAAGAGAGAATCACTTTGGGGAAGGAAAATGTCATATGCCTTACAATCACAGTCATAAAAATAATAATAGTTATAATAATTATTTGGTTAATAATAATTATACTTGGACTTTTGTGCATTATAACACAAAATTTACTTAGTGTAAAGATATACACTACTGTTCAAAAGTTTGGTGTCGTAGGATTTTTTTAAAAGGGATAGTTCACCCAAAAATGAATGTTTTTTCTGGGCCTTGAACGTGGTAGTTACCTTGCTGTCTATGGGAGGGTCAGAAAGCTGTCAGATTTCATGAAAAATATCTTAATTTGTGTTCCGAAGATGAACGAAGGATTTACGGGTTTGGAACGACATGAGGTTGAGTAGAATTTTCATTTTTGGGAGAACTATGCCTTTAATGTTTTTGAAAGAAGTCTCATACGCTCACCAAGACTAATATTTTAATATTAATGTATTTATTAATGTAATACTGAAAATTACAGTTTTCTATTTCATTATATTTTCAAATATAATTTATTCCGGCATGGCAAAGCTGCTCAAGAAACTTTTCTTCTTATCAATGTTGAAAAAGTTGTGCTGCGAAATTTTTGTGTAGAAACTGTGATACAATTTTTGTCAGGATCCTTGATGAATGAACAGAAATCTTTTACGGTCACTTTCGATCAGTTTAATGCTCCCTTGCTGAATACTTTTAAATGGTAGTCTGACTAAAAATAGATGCATATTTCAATTGATTATTAAAATTACAGATAATTTATTTTATATATTATATTATAGTTTCTAAATATGTATTTTATTCATTGTTATGTATTTCATTCTTGTCACGGGTTTGCATTCTGACAGTCTGATTTTCATTTCATCTCTCATGCTCGTTCTTTGTTTGTATGAACTAATAGTAATGTGAGTCGCGCTCAGACAGACGGCAGAGTGTGACTGATGGGTCTTCACATATGGACGGCGTGAAGCATTGTTTCGGATTAGATGCTCTGACCTTGCACAGACGTCTGCCACCTATAATTGAAACCATGTCCTGTGCAGGATGGTATTGTATGCGGTTGCCAGCTTGTGGATTCGAAGACCCACACAAAGATTCTTTATGGTGGTCTTTTTAGCCAAGTTATTTATGATTTAGTCCACTGGAGAGGTGAAAGCATGGGCTAATGTTAGCTCCTATTAAACCCACCTGTTTTACAGCAGCTGTACATCGGCGGTGCTTTTAAAACTCTTTTAGTTTTCAGCTTATCGTGTGAAAGGATGCACAAACTCAGACTCTGGTTCAGAAATCAGTGCACACAGAAATTCAGGCTCTCGACAGAACTGTCCGGCCAAGTAATCAAGATTTGTGTGATGTGTTCCAGGTTTCTTTAAAGACTCTGAGGCTGGGAATTCAATTTCAGCCCACAGAATCGAAACCTGATCTTTGGGGCTAAAGGCTTCCTGACAGGGGGAATGCCAGGAGATCTATGAAATGCAGAAAGCGCATGCTATAGATTTCAGATGAACCTGTTTCAGGGCCCATGTAAAGCAGTTTAAACCCTCTCTAGATAAGCAAACAGATGTATCTGTAGCGTGATATGGTGCCCGTCATCTACAAAGAGAAAGCCTTTCGTTCTCCTAATTTATGATGTGCTCACGACAAATCTCTTCATTTCTTGCCAAATGTGACATCCACACTCTAAAAAATGGTACTTTGACACATCTCTTTACGTGACTGTAACAGAATGTAGTAGTGCTACATTATGCACTCTAAAAATGCTGGGTTAAATACAACCCAGTGCTGGGTAAAATAGGGACACACCCAGCAATTGGGCTGTTTTGACCCAGCGGTTACCTTCTGGGTAGTAACCCAACCGCTGGGTCAAAACAACCCAATTGCTGGGTTTGTCCCTATTTTATGAGATGTGTCAAAGTACCAATACATTTTTATAACTAGAGAAACAAAGCTCTGTCACTGGTGACAGATGTTGGCAGACAATGACTGAAAAATATTTTTGCTTTATGGAAACTTCAGGTACATTTTACTGGTAACACTGAATACATCAAATATGTTACATATCGTAACACTAGTTATATTTACTAGTTGTAAAAAAAAAAGTTAAATAAAAAAGATAATTGGAATACGTTTCATAAGGAAATACTATTTGAGTTTTTCTACTACAGAATTTAATGACTAATTTCAGAGTGTTACTTTCCATTTCCTGTTTAACTGTTTATACAATTTACTAACAATTTCTGAGTGAAAATAGTTTCTACGCCAATTTTTGTTCATTGTATATATTTTATGCAAATTTTAGGACATCGCATTAATTGAAATGTATGCATTTTATCCAAAGCAACTTGTGAAACCCACGATCCTTGACTCTGCTAGCGCATCTAAACAAACGTTATATAAATAAATAAATAAAAGACATATTACTGTCCCTTAACATATCGTGTGACAAAATTATGCAGAATAATTTTTGTATTATTCGGATTTTCCGCATTAATAATATTAGCAATTATATTGTATGGAAATATTCCAATATTTTGTTGGCATACAGAAAACATTTTAACAGTTATCTATAGTCTCAGCTATCTAGTTATTTCTCATCTTTATTTAGTGTTAAAATGCTTTATCACAACTTAACTTTAAATCACAATTTAGGGTTATTATAGTTAAAATCTGACTATAACAAACATTTTCTTTAAATAAAATAAACGTTAACTGAAATAAAGTATAAAAGTCAGAATTAGATTTTTTTTTTAAGCGAAGGCAGTATTTCTTGTTTTCATTTAATCTAAGTTGATGTTCTAAAAAAAACAACACTAAAAAAAGAAAATACTGAAACTTTAACTGAAATTAAAATGAAAACTGAAAATATTAAAATACTTCAAAATATTAATAAAACGTATAAGAGTATCCTGCTACTAAAATAACACCGAACCGTTATGTCAAAATTGAGGTATGTACTGAACCGTCATGTTTGTGTACCGTTACTCCCCTAATAGCAACACTTACTCAACCAATGGCACAAGTTTGGGGGCGTGGGTATCTGTTTGACCAGCCAATGACAGAGAGAAAACGTGTTTGGGGAAACCTGTTTGAAAGACTCGTTATTTTTGCAGCACTCTCTCTTTGATGATGCTCGCCTAAAGCACATTTAATACTTTACGTTTCAGTGGAGACTCTTAAAGGGGTCATATGATGCTGCTAAAAAGAACAGTATTTGGTTTAATGAAATGTGTTTGTGGTTTAAGGTTCAAAAAACACATTATTTTCCACATACTGTACATTATTGTTTCTCCTCTATGCCCCGCCTTTCTGAAACGCGTCGATTTTTACAAAGCTCATCGGTCTGAAAAAGCGAGGTGTGCTCTGATTGGCCAGCTATCCAGTGCATTGTGATTGGCCGAATACCTCAAGCGTGTGACGGAAATGTTACGTCCCTTACCATATTGTGATGCCTGCGGCAACCACATGTGACAACCCCGGGCTGGACTCCGCTTCGTCCACGGTGAAAGCCGGTTATCCACAGCACTAAGTTGAAGTTTGAAGCGAGAATAAAAGTTACGCCTTCTTTCTTTGCGTGAACATTTGGGCAGCGTTATGCAAATCTTCCCACATAGTGATGTAGATATGTTGGGGGCGTGTTAGAACGAGCCGTTTTAGGTTGGCGTGGCTGACTCTTAACTTTTATAAAGAATATCTCTTTGGATTTGAGACTTTAGTCTTTGCAACTTTACAGATCTTCTTTATGCACCAAGAGCTTGTAACACTCCAAAGAGAAAGGAAAACTTGAAATCGCATCATATGACCCCTTTAAAATAAAAGGTATTAATATGTACCATTTATGGGTAAAATAAGGTACACATATGTAACTTTTAGCTTTTGTATCTTAGAGTATCGCCCCAGTGACAGCTTTGTTCCATTTTTTTTTCTAAGAGTGTAGTTGTAGACCAATTCCGTGCCGGCCAATCAGCAGCAGCCACAGCCCCTCAGGGTTTCACTGCACTACCAGAGCTATGTTTCACCCAGCATTTCAATATAATCACCTTCACTGCCAGAACATCGGGCCACTCAACAATCTTCGACTGGCTACAAAAAGCTGAACGAACGAAATCCAAAACAATGGTGTTGCATTTTACTAGGCCAGCACACAGAAGCCTTTCACATTTACACTCTGACTTATACAGTATATAGCAGAGGCATAAACAGCCGGTTTGGCGGTCTGTTTTGGTATGTGTTTATGGAGGCAGACCAAATGTGACCTTTTTGGCACATTTGGTCAAAAAGAAAATCTGGCAGGAAGCCATTCATAGAATTATCACGAGCTCTGCGCCGACTGTTATAGTCGGTCAGCGGCCAGCCGCAGATAAACCCAGAAATCAACCATGTCTAGATTAACATTGGTTTAAGGCTTTGAATTCGTAAGTGGTTGTCACATGCTGTGCCTTTTTGGCACCGATTTGAGATCCGGTCTGAATCCGACAGTTGAATTGTTTACACGGACGACAGAATCGTCATGAGTTTCCCTGCTTTCATTCTCACGATCGGTGCTGATGATAAGTAATCGGTTCTCACGGACTCTGTGGATCTCTGTGGTGCTTACACTATAATACTCCTCCTATGGTGTGTAAATTGCAGTGTAAACACTGACCCTCGTCTCTGACCCTGCACTCATGTGGGCTGAGCGCCTCTCACACTTGCTGCTGTCAATCAAATCCTGCCTCCTCCGTGTAAAAAAACTCCCTGTATACACATCCTACCGTGCTGCAGCTTATATTACCATCATGAAAACTTCATTTGACATGCTTTTTAGAGTATTTTCGATTGTATTATACGTGCAGGTATGAAAAGGTAGTCTGAAAATATAATTCTTAAATTATATTTCCTATAGAATAAAAAATATTATTTACGTACTTCACGATGCCATAGAAGAACCTTTTTGTCTGAATGGTTCCATAAAGAACCTTTAACATCTGAAGAACCTTTCTGTTTCACAAAAGGTTCTTTGTAGCGAAAGAAGATTCTTCAGATTATAGAAAGGTAAGAAAGAGATGGTTCTTTAAAGAACCTTTGACTGAATGGTTCTTTGTGGAACCAAAAATGGTTCTTCTATGGCATCGCTTGAAGAACCTTTTGAAGCACCTTTATTTTTAAGAGTGTACCATAAAGGTTTGGGGTTAGTACGATTATTTGTAAGTATTTTTTGAAAGAAATTAAAACTTTTATTCAGTAAGAATGCATAAAATGTATATATATATATATCAGTAATTTCATTATTTCATTAAATAATCTGAAAAAGAAAAGTCATGGTTTCCAATAAAAATATGAAGCATGAAACTCAACATGAATAATAATAAAGTTTCTTGAGCAGCAGTATATTAAAATGATTTCTGAAGAATCATGTGACACTGAAGACTGGAGTAATGGCTTTTAATGAGCAGAACTTCTTTCAAAAAACATAAAAAATGTTTCTGACCTCAAACATTTGAATGGTAGCATAGGTTAATTAGATAAAAATGACATTTTAAATCCCTTCTAGGGTTTGGTATGATAATATAATATAGAATTATTATTAACATTTTATTTTCTATTTTAGATCATAGAATAATTAGCTAAAATGACATAGTTACATTTTAGAGACTTTATGAAGTTTTTCAATTGTTGGAATTAATATAATATAAAATTATAATTTTTATTATGGGATTTTATTTAAAATAGTATATTATAATATGGATTAATTCATTTTTTTTTCTTTTTATGAGACATTTATGACATCCCATAGTGATATCTCTTTTTTTTTCAGATCAAGTTTAAGCTTTCAGTAACACAAGTTCAGTTTTAAATGATACATTTCAACCTGATGTTAATGTACATTTAGACCAAAGATGCCCAACATTTTTAATATGAAGGCCCAAAAATCAAACTTAATTGAGGACTGTAGGCCAAAAGTGGATGTTGCATTATATCCAACTATATTAGATTATATTAAAGTGTATACAATTTTATGTTTGTATTTTTTAGAATTAAACAAAAATATAAATACAGTTTTGAAGGCTTTGCATATTTTTGTTTTACTAAAATTGGACATCTCTGATTTAGTCCCTCAGCTGCTACACTTTCTATCAGTATTTCAGGTGAATGTAGTATTTGAGCACCAGTAGGTGGCATTAGTGAGCACAGCAGGGGCCAGATGATGGAGCCGTTTGAACACACATGAACACAACTGCTAGTCACAGATATCTTAAACGTTCACATATATTCCATCTATATATTGTTGATGTTTTTAAAATGTTTATATACGGAATGCATGAAAATCTACGTGTCCTCTCTCAGTTTGTTCAGCGTAAAGCGTGTCCCGGACACGTCGTGCACATCTGTAACCTCCCGGAGGGCAGCTGCACGGAGAATGACGTCATTAACTTAGGGCTTCCCTTCGGCAAAGTGACCAACTACATCCTCATGCGCTCGACGCATCAGGTAAGAGATTTCAGCTCTGAAATGAAGAAAGCGATGATATATCGTGCAGTTTGTTGTAAATAAAAAGTACTGCAAGCACTTGATTTACTTGATCTTCGTACGTTTAAACCCTGACACCGATGATGTCTCCATCACCCCGATTCGTTAATCAAACTTGACTTTTTGATTGGTCCTGTTAGTACAGACTGGATCAAATTCTGGGTTCAGTGCCAAGTTTGACATGTGCCTGAAATGCCTGGCATTGAATTGACCTTGTAACTGTCTCGAAGATTTATTACGCAATTAAAAAGAATATCCGTTCGGATCACATTTGACACATTTTATGTTTCGTGCACGCTTTAACGATTTTATCTTCGGCGTCAGGCTTTTCTGGAAATGGCATACGTGGAGGCGGCGCAGGCGATGGTGCAGTACTACCAGCTGCAGCCGGCTACCATCAACGGACACAAGCTACTGATCCGCATGTCCAAGAGATACAAGGAGCTGCAGCTGAAGGTATGAAGCTCATCTGGGCTCATCCTGGTCGCGGGATTCGCACAAACCCAACTCAAGAGTGTTTTCCTTTCTGACCCAGAAACCAGGTAAAGATGTTGACTCTATTATCCAAGACATCAATTCCCAGAGAGAGCGAGACGAGATGCAGGAGACTGACAGGTGAGACCAGGACACATTTGTATTGAGACTTTTTGGGTCATTTGTTTAATTCTGGATCTACGGATTTATTTTACGATACATAAAAATGCCAATTCATATTTGTAATGAAATGAATACATCTCTTCTATCATCGAAGAATGATTTGAACTTCTAATTAGTTTAAAATCAAAATTCAAAACTAAAAATGAAAAATGGATTTTGGTCTGAAATGTGATTTGAGTAGTTTGGTATCAAATTATTATTGTTATCATTTAGAATTGTATATTATTATTTTATTTTATATAATATAATATTTTATATGTCCTGGAAATCTAAGTCATGTGGTGTGACCAACATGCAGAAGGGAAAAACATTAAAAAAAATGTCCCTGGTAGACCTTCATGACTGTGTGATAATATAGAATTATTAACTAAATTTCAGTTTTCTATTTTAGGTATAATATAGATAAATTAGCTACAATTGCATTTTTACATTTTAGATAGTAAATATAGAATACTTAGATATAGTATTATAATTGTATTAATTTTGAAATTGAAAATGCAAAAATAAATGATTAAAATTAACATTGTTAATTTTTTTGTAATTCATAATGTGGATTCAAATTAAAATATTTGTTTATTTATTATATAATAATATTATAGGTATAATATTATATAATATTTAAGAGTTTAAAATCAGATCATTTGACTTGTTCATAACAAGGAAAGGTTAGTTCAGTTTGTAAAATGACTTGAAGAATTTTCTCAAAAAACTTAATGATATTTATTAATTAAAAATGTAAAAAAATATATTTTTACAGTATTTGTCAAAAAAACTTTTTGCTTTAAAAACATGTATTTAGAAACTTTTTAAAATCATGATTAAGATGTGTACAATCACGTATTTAATATATATATATATATATATATATTTATTTTTATTTTTATTTTTTTTTTTACATTTTTTACGTGACGGTTGCACCACATGACATCATTAAATTTGAATTTTTTCTTGAAAATGGTATAAAAGCTTTTCAAGACAATAAACCTGCCAAAGAGCACAATTCTAAGAACTTTGCCACATGTGTTTTAAATGTAATTTTTTAAAGATTTTTCCTTTTCTTTATCGTTGTCTCAAACCTGCTGCTGTTTTGTGCAGGTATTTGCCGGAGCGTGCCAGATCACGCAGTCCAGTCAGTCGTTCTCTGAGTCCACGCTCACACAGTCCGAGCTTCACGTCCTGTAGCTCCGCCCACAGTCCACCGGGGCCGCCCTGTCGGCCTGACTGGAGCAACGGCATGGGGCCCCGCCGGCCCTCTTGGGACTGGACATCCCATTCCCGAGGCGACGAGGACCCCCGCGAGAGAGATGACTGGAGGAACGACGAGGAAGAGAGACCCAACGGATGGCTGTCCGAGTGCAGGAAACCCTACCTTAAAACCGGGGACCGGATCAGCCCACGTATGGGACCCGGTGACGAGCGGGGCAGGGACTGGTACCCCCGCAGAAGCCCCCAGGGTTCGTCCTTCTCCTCTTATCACTCCATAGACGACTTTTACAAGAAAGACTCACTGTACAAGACTGATAAACTGAGCAGGCCACAACATCAGAGACACGAGGGGAAAACGAAGAGAAGGGAAGGCGGCGACTACCACAGACCCCGACATTCAGAGTCAGACGTGACGGACGACACAAACTCCAACCGGACAGCTGAAGACAGAGGACGCAGCAAGAGGCCGAGCCGGAGACAAGACAGGGAGGAGAAGGAGCCCGAAAATCAGGCATGTCCTGTTTCAGTTCAGTAGGGTTCATTTGAAGAACAATTGTAATACTGTTTCAACTGAATCACAACATTTGAAATTATACACAGAATTTTAAGAGTATTAAACATGTAAATGTTCGAATATTTTATAAAATATCTTTATATTATTTTAGTTTAATATTATATATGATTTAAAATATATAAACTTTCACAAAATTTCAATATTTAAATATACTATTTTATTAAATATTTTAATTATTTTTTAATATATTATATTATATCCAAATGTGCTTTATAGACAATATTTTAATAGCACTGTTTTTATTTTGTATTTTAGAAGGAAGAATATAGAGCCAAAGACAGATCAACGTCTCCTCATAACAGCAAACCTGTAGAGTCTTCAAAGTGTGACAGAGATGGTGACAGTGAGGTAAACATGGTTCATTCATTCATCTACCAGTCTGCGTTATGTAATTTAGAAAATATCTAGTAAAAACACTAATATTGTGAAATAATATTACAACTTAAAATAACTGTTTTCCGAAATGTATTTCTGTGATGCAAAGCTGAATTTTCAGCATCATTACTGCAGTCTTCAGCATCACGTGATCCTTCAGAAATCATTCTAATGTGCTGATTTGCTGCTCAAGAAACATTTCTGATTAGCAGTGTTTGAAACAGTTGTGCTGCTTCATATATTTGTGGAAAGCTTGATAATTTTTTTTTTCAGGTAAAAGTATTCATTTCTAATGTTTCCTGGTTTTCAGGGACTGGAAAGTGTAGATGATGGAGAGGAGGAGAGCTGGTATCCTAAAAGCATGGAGGAACTGGTGACCGTAGATGAAGTTGGAGGAGAGGACGACTCTATAGTTGAACCTGATCTACCTGATCTTCACGAGGAGGACCAGAGAGTCGAGCCCAGTCAGTCGACAGCAGAGAGCCCTAAACCAAACGCAAAAACCCCAACTGAAGGCGAAGAGACCACGTTGAACCCTCCTACCCTTTCCCTGGTGGTTCTGGTCCAAGAAGAAAGCTCTGGAGGTGCTCAGTCCAGCCCTGGAGAGAGACCATCTGCCCCTGAGCAACCGGTCTGTCAACTCAACCGCTTCCCGTCCCAGGAGTTCAAGAGTGCTTTGGAGGAGACCTGCTCCGCCACTCATCTAGACACACACATCGACACAACCACACCAGCTGGCCCTCTAAACAACAGCAGCACATGTGAAAGTGGGAAAGTGCAGGACTTGAGTAATGATGAGAGAAAGACAGCAGAGATGGACAACAAGGAACCATGTCTCAAACAGGACAGTCAGAAGAAAGGTACTCACAACTGACTTTAGTTTGTTAGTGACTGTCTATAATGACCCGGTCCCAGCTAATGAAAATAAGCTGTGGTTTACAGTGAATTTATAACAGCTAAGCGGCGTTGTTATGCACGACGCGAAGCGAACCCCCTTAGCGGTTATAAATTCACTGTAAACCACGGCTTCACAGGGGTTATTGCTTTTCTAAAATGGTTATTCCATATACGTAGTAAGGTTTCACAAAATAAAACAGAGCAAATAAAGTGTAATGATATTAATAAAAACATTCTTCCGCCAAACAATGTAGTTCCTCAGAATCGGTTGTGGTTGCCAAGCAACACACAAATGTAAACAAAGGTGTGTGTTTGTAGAGTAATTTACAACAGCTTCGAACGCGGCTCAACCAATCAGAATCAAGGACCGGAACTTTCCGTTTTATAAATGTTCTTTTTGAATGTTCTCTGAACATTTAAAACTTCCAAAACGTTCACATTCTATTTGTTCATTTTGCAAACATTATGGGAACGTTACTTTTGAATGTTTCCTGAACATGCTAAAACGGTAACATTTAAAAATCATTAGATGCATGTCCAACTGAAAGGTTTCAGGAAAAAAATGTTTCCTTAAAAACATTATTAAAGACCAGGTAACTTTGATGCTGGAAGAAGTCGTAACTTTGACAGAACCTTACCAGAACAATAGCCAGTGTTCTAAACATAGCCTGTTAGCTGGGGAGTTTGGGAGTGTTACTTCTTCATACTAATACCATTGTAGTTCTTAGTTCCTCATAGAGATCTAAAAAGTGTCACTTACTATTGATTGGCGAATTTTTGCATGTGAAATCCTGTCATTTTAATAGGAATCCACATTGGGAATTATATTGTAAGGGTGAAGGATTTCCCCATGCAGATTTCACATCAGATTTGGTCATGCAAATTCCCTACTCAGACCAACAGAAAGATGAAAGATAAAGCTTGGTTTATGAGTGACTTTTGTGTGAGCTGTGCATCATACATACAAGCTTCACTGACAATAGACAATAGACCTTAGATTCACAATAGACCTTTTTTGCTTGCAAAATTGTGCTAATAAGACCGCACCTGTCTAATTACAGAATCATACGATTAAGATTGCTGTTCAAAAGCGGTTCAGATTCACTGACTGAGCAAGTTTTCTTCAAAGCGTTAACTAGTGAGTAAGTCCGAAACTTAGATACTTCTGACTGACTCATTAAAAAAGAACAAATTCTGGAGAATAATGTCACGAACTTCGAATTTTGTACTTAAATATTATCAATATTTGAATTATATTTGAATTTAAAAGGCATAAATTCAGTTAGGGGGGAAAAAGGCCACAAGAGGGTGCATCGAGTAAAATATTACTAATGCATGTTTATTAAAAGCAATACAATAACATGACTATCTGTGAAAAAAGTGTACTATGTTTAAAATAATGTTTATAAACCAAATATAATGAATTAAATTGCTTAAACAATTATGGCATCATGTATGTATGCACAGTTTAATACAAAGGGCTGAAAGCCAATTACACAGAGTACTTTTTTCATTTAAAACATGAGATGCAGTGGGATGGGAAAAAAACCTGCCATAAAGTTTCGTGACATGTTTTTTTAAAAGTTGAACTTACATTAATTTTACATGGCTTTCTATACAGGCATCTCTCTTGTGTGAGACGCGAGTGCAATGGTGATAGATGTCCCGCTAGAAAATGCGCAAAAATACTCGTTGCGTGTGAAAGGCTTGGTTTCAGTTTTGACGCTAACAAGATCTTCTTCGCATTGATAAGCCTGCCTTAAAAATGATTTGTAACCTAAAACTCGAATGCAAAAACGTTGGATAGTGAAGTTTCATTTATTTGACAGCTCTAGCTTACGCTGTTCATTTTTCCATGCAAAAAACACTAATGTGCACTCAAACGTAATTTAAAAATTAGCCAACACCACCTAACAAGACGAATCTGACGAAACAGCATTTTTTGCATTTAAATTTAGTTTTTGCATTTGCAACAATTTTAGATGCAGCCCTACTCATATTTTTTTAATGAGCCAAGCAAAAATTTTACTTCACTTGATTAAACTTTGACTTGATTGAAAAGCTTTGACATTTTGATAATAATCTTTTTTTGCGTTTTGTGACTTTTGCCTGACCTGTTAAAAAGTGCAAGTTTTTGAGAATAATTTGCCCATGAATCAGACATCACCATGTTCATTTTTGCATGCCGGAAACAATGGTGTGCATTTGAAAGTGTCCTAAAAATTAACTAATGCCACCTCACAAGATGATAATCATGATATCTGACTAAACTGCATTTGTTGCATTTGCACAGTCCTGCTAATATTTGTTTTAATGAGCCAAGCAAAAATGTACCTAAACTTGATTAAATTTGCAAAGCTTGACATTTTGATAATAACGTTTTTGTGTTTTTTACGGATAGGTAGATAATGTCATAATTTTCAGGTTAAAGCAAATGATCTGCGAAAGCTTGACTGAACTAATGCTTTCATGGTAAAAAAAAAAAAATACCAAAATTGTGTCAAATTTGGAAATGTTGACAAATCGTTTTGTTTTTTTTTACCTACAAAACTTGTTTAATTCAGTCATCCAAGATTTTTTTTTAGAAGTTGCATTTAAAATCTACTTACCTCAAAAACCTTAGGGGGCAATTTTGAACATTTTATGGCAGTTTAATGTGATTTACAGGCTGCAGATACAACATTTTTTTTTACTGAAATCAATGATACACAACAAACACTAAAGCATTTCATTACACCTATTTCATCTATTCCAGATATTCCTGACTCATTACCGGCCCCTTCACCTCAGGCAACAGATACCTTTGCTGCGTCACCCTCTCAGGAGCAGGAGAAAGCCATCAGTGAACACAGCATACCGTTAGGTATGTCCACCAGAAGTCAAAAGGGTCGAACCAAACGCCCGCAAGTGCCATTTGGCCAGGAAGACGAAAGCATGAGCAATAGTAATAGCGACGCTTTGCAGCGAGAGCAGCACTAATGAATGGCTCTGGCTGTGATGTGGGCTCTCAGTGGGTGATTGAAGCCTTTAAGGCCAGCTGATGTCAGTGGAGCATTTGTCATCCTGCTGAGTGAGGTGTGAATTACACCCTCGAGGCCCAAGCTTGTGTACTCATTACCACACAGCTAACACACTAGATTCCCTCACAGAAGAGCTGACTTTACACCCCTGCACACACTCACAGAGACGTATATGTGAAATGTGCCTCAGAAAGAAATGTGGGTATGGTGTCGTTCTGATTTCCTGCTGGTTTTGTTGTTTTTGGCAGGTGTGGAGTTCATCGTGCCAAGGACGGGGTTTTATTGCAACCTGTGTAGTTTGTTTTACACCAGCGAACAAACAGCCAAGACGTCACACTGTCGGAGTACAATTCACTACAGGAACCTACAGGTCATAAATACGAACATACAGTCTTCCTTTCTCTTTTCACACAAATATGAACGGTTCTCTTTTTCTTAACCTTTTCTGTGCAAACCTTTTCTCTTCCTAAACAAACTAATTCACTTAATTGAAGCAGACTTTTCAGTGGTACATATGAGATTAGCAACATTACTGACTAGCAAACTACATTGAAGCTACTAAAGTGACTCAGATAAGTGATTTGTTTCTTAAAATCACTTCTCAAATGAACTGATTCGCTAAAATTCATCACATATTCAAGCGGTACATGAGATTAGCTACATTCCTGACTACCTAAATACATGAAAGCTACTTAGCTACTTATGGAAGACTCGAATCAGTGAATTATTTCTTAATCTCTTCCCAAATGAACTGATTTACTAAAATGAATCAGACTTTCCAGCGGTACATATGAGAGGTATGTGGTCCTCTCATATGTACCGCTGGAAAGTCTGATTTGTATACTGAGTGTATTTGAATATTGCGTCAGCTCGCTTGGCAGAAAATCTGCACACAATGTGAAATGCGAAATTCAACAATGTGAAATTCAAACAGCGATGTAACATTTGGCCACGCTACACTGCTACTTGTTGGAAATAGTAGCTTGTTACTGAAAAGGCTACACTTACTTAGTTACTCCGCACCACTGCAATGACTGCAATGTAAGATTGACTGATCTAAGATGCCCGGTCCTCAGGGTGGGATAAAGTTTCTCATTATAACCCTTCAGAAACGCACGCATATAGACAGATGAACACACTTTCCAACACAACATGGTTGAGGCGGCAAGGAGCCGGACATTCCCCGTCATCACAGTCAGACCACAACCAGTTGTCGTGTCTCTCAGACTAGAGCGGTCGGCCAAAGGGCGTCACCTCATACTTCACTTCTCCGCCTTGAGGTCCACCAGCTGTGTTGAGTTTACAAGAACTTCAGTGAGAAGCTGACAGCTGAATTTAACACCAGAAGAGCAAGACAGGTGAAACCGAGACAGACAGAGAGAGAGAGAGAGAGACTGTAAACACTACAGGAAACACCTACTTTCCTCCCACATTTTGACCTTCTTCTGTTTCAACTCTCCTTGTTTCACTGCTAAACAAATACGCTTTTTGGAAGGACGCACATATATGGGAGTTTCTTCAACTCTTTTGTCTTTAAAACCGACCTCAACAATAAGTCCAGCAGAACATGAGTGCAAAATTACTTTGCAACTTCAAAATATAAAAGTACTATCATGCAATTTAGTCAAATTATGCAAAAACTAAGTAGATTGTCAGCCATTTTATCTACTAGTTGACACTGTTAGTGGAAAATTATTAAACAAATGGGTTTGAAAAGTATGTTTATGATAGAGTGTAGTCTCTAAGCCAAAAGAGCCCAGAAACACACCATATACAAACGTAGCATGAACTTAATTGAGTATAACAGTCAGAACAGATGCTCTCAGTCAGCCATTTTAGTCAGAGAAACCAAACTGTTGCTCTTCATGGCTGCTCCTATGCCTGTAATTTAGAAGTAAACTGTTCTTCGTGTAATTTAACGGAAGATTGTTTGTGTTTTTATAGAAGTATCTGTCGCAGCTGGCGGAGGAAAGTCTCTTGAACTTCCACACGGAGTCGCCAAACACTGAATGAAGCTCACGTGAGACTATCAGGACTGCACCACTGCTGGGACATGCTGAGAGACACAAAACAAGGACAAAGAGGATGGGACACAAGGAGAACCAGAGCAATTGGATCCTCTGTGTACTCTAGTTCATAGCAATATGTATTGTGCGAAAGTTTTCAAGAATTACAAAATTGGCTTATTAAATGTCATATATTTTAAAGGAGTAGTTCACTGAGAAATGTAAGCTCCAAACACGTTACTTTTTGGTTCTGCGAAATACAAATTTTTTTTTCAGAATGTTTATGATGCTATTTTTCTATACAGTGGAATTGAAGTGTTTTGTGGATACAAAATTTAAAAAGCACCATAAAAGTATCATAAAAGTAGTCCATGCAACATGTGCACTATATTAATTTAGTTTCATCATAGCCGTGATTCAGCTAAAATATGGGAAAGAATCAGGGTTATTGTCGCAAACTAAAACCATACATTTGTTACTTGAAACAAATGTTAACTGAAATAAAATTTGTAAAAAACTTCAACTTATTTTATTTCAGCTAATTGCTAAGGCAACATTTCTTATTTTCATTTCGTCTAACTTTAAGTACTAAAATAACTAAAAATAAAAATAATAAAAGAAAACGAAGAAATAACAACTGTATAGACTTTTTTTTAAACCCTAAACTAAAAAAAGACAAAACAAAACCAAAAAATTACTAAAATGAACTAAAATTAAAACAAACGAAAATAAATAAAAATGAAATCTAATTCACAATATTAACAAAAACTTAGTATAATATACTAATATAACACTAGAAAGAATTAGTACAACATGGCCATGATTTACTTAAAATTAGGAAAATAATTAACAAGTCATGGGAACTAATTCTTTATTCGTGACCACAATATCTTTTTATCCAACATGTCATTTGTACTTGACAGCCCCAGTGTCCATTCACTTTCATTTTATGGAAAAGAGCAGCAGGAACGTTCTACTAAATATCTTCATTTGTGTTCCACGGGGGAAAAAAAGAACAAGTCAGTCATACAGGTTTGAAACATGAGGGGGAGTAAATGATGACAATTTTCAGTTTTCTGTGAACTCAAAGTGCCCTGTCCTTATTTGTAGGACAAAACGCAGTGTGTGTGTCCTTGTAGTCCAGCGTGGAATTTTTATTACACTGTGAAAAACATGTATCAGAATGTGAAATGCACTGGTAAGTGTAGTGTTTACATCATCTGCATCTGCCTCATTCATACTCCAAAGCTTGCATATATGTTGAATTGTCTCTGTGGTCGACAAATATAAACTTCACTTCAGAAGTGCCTAATTTAAACTTCTATTTAAATTTAAAGAGTTGTAAAATTATCCTCAGGTTAATATTTGTGAATATTCTGTTGATGCTCTTTAAATTATTAATTTTTGCCATTCATCAGGTCTTCACTCTGCTTCATGCTTGAAATATTCACTTTTCGAAGTGCCTTATAATGTATTAAAAGCCCCAAATGCTTAAAAATCAGTTGAACACAATGGAAAGCTGCTTCTGTATAATGTCTGCCATACTTTTTTGCTTTTAATTTTCATCATTGCTGTACACAAAGCTCAGACTTTAGGGATACTTGAACTGGACCATGTTTATTTATCTAATATCCAATTTATTTAAAGCTGAGTGAGTGTTGTAATGCTAGTATATTATTGGAATGGTTCTGGAAAACTTTTTCTCCTGCTGTTTTATATTCTGTTAATAATAGCACTCAATTTTATGGAAGACATTTTTTTTGGGTTGCATTGATGCAAATATTAAATAAACATTTTGGAAAATAACGTTGCTTGATGTTTATGTGACCCGGACGAGTAAAGAAAGTGTCCCGTGATGGCCCTGAATGACATGTCTGGGCCTGTGCGTTATGAAAAAAACATTATCTTTTTAAAAACTGGGTCAGATGAATAATATAACAAGAGAGAGGGACTTCATCTTCACCCATGCGCAATCTGTTACATAATGGCATCACGTCTGTTCCAGCGTCCATCGCAGAGCGGCGGAAAGTCACGATCTTCACCGAAGACCTCATAGAAAATACGAGAAAGATCGGCTTCATCTGAACTCAATTTTCATTGGTCGCTTTGTCATCCGCCTCTATTATTCTAACCAATCAGAGAGCTCGCAGGACAGCATTACGCTATCGAGTTGCTGGGCAGAGAACACAAAATCAACATCAACGGAGCGTACGCTCGAACTTGGACTACTAAAGCAGGTTAGTAGGATTTGTTCCTTAACGACTGGCCGTTGTTTTAAAGCAAATTATTTTGCGTTATTGAAGACTTTTGGAGGCTTTATTTTAGACGCCGTGTCAAATAAGGACAAAAACGGCGTCTGTTCGCTGCTAGTCGCGAGGCTTTGTTTATGTTGCGCTCGTGCACTTGCAAATAACGCCATACATTGAATGCGTGCTCTACATCAAATATTAAACACTTTAATAGCTATTAACATTAAAAAATGAGTTTTTCTTAGCCAAAGCACTTTATTTTGGAGACTGCAGGTCTTCTGTCTGAATGTTAATGCGATCCATTCATTGTATCGGGCTTGTGTTGGAGCCAAATGGACGCTGCTGATTGGAGCAGCTGCTTGTTCTCATTTATTCATTAATTTTTGCTTCGCAAAGAAATATTAACTGTATATTAATATTAATATTTCTGCATCCTAGGTGCGAAGGCACATTTCATACGGTGTAAAACTTCATTTCCTAACCATGGCAACTGACTGTGAGGCATGGCTGAATGCGAACCCTGTTGGTAAGTTCAAGTTTATTTTTATCGCGATATTTAGTGATTTTATATCACGGTAAATGTTTTTAGGTCAGTGTTTCAGTACTGTTTGCCCTCATATTTGGTATATGATATGCAAAGTCTTGCAGAATTGGCCAAGGTCAATAATATCACTTGTTTTTAACTCTCACATTGGGAAGGATAAGGGGCCCAAACTTTGGCCCCTAGTGCTAATGCTGTTTTTTTGGTGCATATTTAGTCTCAAACTACAAGTTTGATATGCGTATTTGTATGTAAATGTAACACTCTCGTCATCCACAGAAGCTGGAGATCTCAGCGATTCCTTCCCCTCTGGGGACGAGGACAACACCTTCACTGGTAACGTTAATAACGAGATCAACGGAAACTGGATATCGGCCCCCACCGGCAGCATCCATGAGGCAAGACTCAAGGCCAAGGTGAAGAGACGTCTGAGGAAGAACTCCTCCAGGGACTCGGGCCGGGGCGACTCGCTGAGCGATAACGGGGATGTGGTCCGCTCTGTGGTTCCACCCACCAGCCCTAAGGGCAAACTGCTAAACAGGAGGTCGAGGATGGGCAAGGGACGAGGCCTGCCGAAGAAAGGTATCAGTGCTGTTTGATTCCTTGACCTAGAACTATAGGGGCTTTCGCGCCGGAGGAACCTTTTCATAGTTCCTAGAACTAGTTGTGGAAGATCCCGCTTTTTTGGCATGTTCGCCAAATGGTTTTAGTTCTAATAACTCCGTTTGTGCAAACTAAATTAGCTCCTCCTTCAGAGTAGGGTCCAAAACAGTTCTATAGGAACTACGCTGATTGGCCAAACATTGGCATACAAAACACTGGCTACCCGCCATTTTTAAAAAGCAGAGTAAAAATATTTAATTCACGAACATGGAAAACAGCGATAATGGCTACCTGTTGTAGATAATGGCTGTCATCTCAGCCTCGATGATATGTAACACTGCAAGTTGTCATAAGAAATTTAGTCTCTTAGCCCAACTTTTTGCTCCGTGCAAGTTTTTTAAAGTTGGGTGGATTCTGTTTGTAAATGTTTTTATTGTTCAAAAATCATTCTAAAAGTAATTTCAACTTTACCTTTCCTCTGTGTTGTACTTGTTATAATTGTGGTGTTGATATCCCTATTCTCATAGAATTAGAACAATAAATAAAAATGCATAGATATAGTTAGCGTTCTTGGTGTCAACGGCACAACTACAAAGATAACTATATTATCGTCCACACCAATGTATGATAGCATAATGTTTATTATAAGCACGCTGCAGTTTTGTCGTTTACCGCTTTAAATACTTAAGATAGATTTAAAAGGATTATTAAACCTTTATAGCTATCATTAAATTTACTGCTGTTGGCGTGAACAGCCCTTTTAGTCTGATCTTTTCTGTTTGGAATTTTGATATTTTGATTCAGTTGAACTTAAATATCGTAAATAAGCACGTAAATATCAATAAATTAGAACTTAAGAGTTCTGGAAATCTGAAAATTCCAGAAGTCGAGTGCATGTGGGATTCACTTATATGAGTTCAGAGCACACGAAGTGTTGACTTGGTTCTGTTCTAGCATCTGCCGTTTCATTTTAGCCAATTACATGGTTAACAAACACAAGCGGATTGACGCACTTCAGTAACCAGACTCCACCCACATTCACACATACGCTCATAACAGACAGTCACTCCTATTCATGCTACAACATGGTCCATTGTTGAGGGTTCATTCATTGCCCCTGAATGCAACGGACCTGAATTGATTTGAGAAAAGTCTGGCTTGCAGAAATGGCCTACATACGGTCAGCGTCAAGTACACCATATGTATGCTGACTAAGCTTTCAAAAAAACATTTTGACTCTACTCTCTTTGTCTTAATGGTGATCGTTTAATCCTCTAGATGAGATTTTGAAGTGATTTAGTTGAGACCTTTTCACCTCCACCATTACCCACAAGATGACTTCGTGGCACACTTCTGTTTTTGATTCCCTCAGCGATGGCATATTCGGCCCTGTGTGTGTTATGTAATTGCTGGTTAAGTCAGCCTGAAGGGCAGGGCTGTTGGCTTTTTTTTTTGGCAAGACCCCTTAAGATACTGGCGTTGCAGTGAAAATGCCGTCGGTTTAGAAGTGCCATATGTAAGGTGGAATACTCCACTTTATCCATTGAGGCCTGAAAAGTGGATTACAGCATATTGACAATCTTCTTTGGAGGCTTTGTGGTTCAGGCTGAGAAGAAGCCAGTCGTGTTTTGCATTTAAATTGGGGATTACAAATTGGTGACAAATAATTTCATTGTCAAATATTAGT